CCACCTCTTCCAGAAAACCCACCCCTTTCTTGTCCCATCCAGGTGGACTTGCTACATGACTTGCATCCCAATTTGACCCGCAGTTAATGAATATCACTCCAGTGACTATACTTGTTGTAACCTTATTGGTTTAACATAGTTTTATCCCACCTCATACTCGCCTTGAGATTTCTCATTAGAACAATAATTCTTAAGTGACTATACTTGCAATCTTAAGGACTGTACATAGTTCTGTCCCATCTTAAACCTGCTTCCCCTTAGGGCTTTGTTCATTAAACACTCTTGAGAAGCAGGGTTGGTGGGCAACCTGCTCTCTGGGCCCCCTTTTGTCTTTCTCTTGATAAATCCTTCCTCCTTTTAACCTCCATTGTTCTAGAATTCATTCTTCAGTTTTAGAGAACATGTATTCTGCGTTTTGGACATCTAGAGGTTGGCTATCACATTTCCCCTATTTCATTTGGACCCTCCCCTTTAGAGGCCCCTGAAGTAGAGAGAAAACAATGGTGATAGTTATCATAAAGCTCACAAACTAGCCTACACATGCTACCTTCTTACACGTGGCTATCCTTGCACATTATCTGGTGATACTATTGTCCAAGCTCACTGGTCAGGAGACCCTGCATTTTCTTATCTCATGCTTATTGAATCATCTAGTTACCTGGTGAATCAGTTCGACCTAGGGCATACACTGTCATGAACATCCAGAGAATTCTGTGTAGTGGGAAACTGGACTTCTATGTGGAGTAGGACAGAAGGTTCTTTGAAACTGGTGATTCAGGAAAACTGCTATGAGAGTATGACCGTTTAAACAGTTGTGTGTGATTTTGGGGTTGAGCCATGTTTACAGAATAACAAACCCAAGTTTAATAGTTAAGAAAATTTATATATTATGATGAACATATAATTGGTGAACACATAAAACAGATGAAAAAATTGCTGGGCTATTGGGTGGAGGAAGAAAATGTCAGTTTGACTCAAGAAAGAGAAACTGTGCTTGGCTGTTAGTTTCGTTTGAAGAAAATGTATGCTTCTAAGAACGTTCTGAACTGTGCAACACGTGCTTGCTGGAACCAATAGGTTCCACTTTTTGCCCTTGCAAAAAAATGTTTTCACCTGCACCAACCAGGATGTGGTTTTCAAGTTTAAAAGCTCAAACTTTCTTCAGTTCAGGGCTGCTCAGCATCTCCCTGCATGGAGAACAGACTGACAGCTGCTGGCCCAGATAATACAGACTCTTAAAATTCCAATTTGGATTCTGGTCTCGGTTCTTTATCCAGGGTAACCCATTACATATATCAGCTTAAAACCTAAATTCCTATCTTCTCATGCACTCAGTGGTAGGTTGAGAAAATTCTGTTAGGGTGAGATAAATATTGTCTGTGATTTTACTTGTAACACCTGAAATACATTTCTCACTGACTGAGGTGCATGCAGGGGTTGGATTTGTCAGCACACTGGGCCCTCCCCTAAACGTGGGTCTGTTGTTGCCTACTTTGCTGAAGCACCGTGCAATCCAGTCTTCAAAAATATCACTAAAAGTCACATAATAATCACATAATGATGTTAAAAGTTTACAGTCCTATAAGGCCTCACGACTAGTTGCCCAAGGTTATGTCTGGGCCCCTAATCATGGGCTGGACATGATTGCTTTCGATGTGACTTTTACCAGAAGTCAATCAGCCAGTATCTAGCAATTTCTTCATTGTTCCATTGAAATACTTGGACATTCTTGGTTAATATTTCACTTCCATCAGTCTGTATGCTAAATTTTGAAAGGATTCAAAAGATTGCATGGTATCAGTGCATAATAATTGATATAAGTATTTTCCAACTTTTGTAATGTAGGCTGTTTCCAGGTTTTCTGGTGATGCTATTGTCCCAGCTTACTGGCCAGGGTACTCTGCATGTTCCTAACTCATGCTTGTTGAATTCTACAGTTCCTTGTTGAATCAGTTTATTGACATTACTAACAAATACTCTAATGTTTGAATTCTGGCATGAGTTAAAAATAATGTAAAAATTTCCCTTTTGACTGCAGGATACTGCTATCAAAAAAGAACATGTGACGTATTTGTCAAGCAAAGATGTGTTCTACTCCCTCCTCCCAGTGACCCCTACACCTGACTCTCAATCATCTTTTCAACCTGCTTCCTTTCTTGGTACCCTACCACCACCACCATGAGACCTGATTCCCCTTTCCAGGAGCTGTGATGGTTGCACTGCAAGAGGGCACGCCATGGGCCCTTGCTCACCCTTCTCATATGTGCTTCTCTTTCCAGGCTAAGGACGATGAACTAAATGCAGTGTATTTTCTCATTGCTGCAGGGCTGGAGCGACAGTGACTGATCAGTATCTGCCACCAGAGCCTGCCACTGGTACCTTTTCCACCCCTTGAAGTAGTTTTTCCCACAGATGTCCAGCCAAGTCTGTTTTCAGCCATAATGAGACCGAAATAAACACACCAGACAAATAACAGAAACAGCACAAAGCAAGAACCTTTAGAAAAATGAATTTTTTTTTCAAAAATCTGATGTTTTTTAGGTCCTTTCTTTTCTGGATATGTCGACTCAAATCAAGTTGTGAGAGTTCCTAATCAGCATGGCTGGACAAGAAGGATGTGTTGGAACAGCAGTGCCTGAGATGTCTTCTGAATCATTTTCCACAGAAAGAAATTTCTAGCAGCAGTAAGGACAATGTGCTCTGTATTAATATTCATCAGTGTATGGATACTCAGGGTGGTCCTGAGAGCTGTAATTAGAAGAAAAAGGAATAATATGGTCTTGATGAGTCCACTTATCCAACGATAAAGCAGTAATATGTATGCATACTTAAAACTGTGTAAGTTAACAATGGTTTTCTGACTGCTTGTAATATCTGCCATTTGCTTTTTGTGAACATACTGTAAGAGAAAAAACACTTAAACCATAACAAAATTTTCCAATTATATTTTCTGACTATAGCCAAACATAAGGAAAATACAAAATCAATGTTTACCCATATATTCTTCTATATTATTCGAAGCAAAAAAAGCAAATAAATTCTTTCTGACTTTGAATTCTCAGTGAAAGTACAGAATGAAAATGTAACGTTTATGACAAGTCTAAGTCCGAATATTGATTGATACAATAAATATTTCAAGGTGTCCATTTACTTCTACCACTTTCACCT